TTGTATTTGCATTGCAAATTATTGCTAGGAATTAGTTCCAATTCACTGTAACTCATGATTCTTATGTCAATAAAAATGAAATGATAGAGAATGTATGTCACTTCAAAGAAAACATGCCAAACGCTTAAGCCAATTAAGGGGATAATTGCAGGTTTTGGTTATCGCCCTTGAGTAGAATGGTCACAGTTTGGGGTCAAAGTATGCATAGGGATCGGAGTCAAAACCCACAGAAAATTGATTAAAGCCTACTTCTCTAACAAATAACATAGCACAGTTTTGTCCTAAAGATTTTCACCGTTTGTGTGCTGATAGAAAATGAGAGTGAAGTTCAAAGACCAAATTGTCAACGTGATTCAATTAAAGCTTAAACTAATACCAGTAATGATCTGACTGGGTTCATGTTATATTGAACATACTGTTACTAGTTACTTCTGTTTCATTATTACTTTATAAAATACTGTCCTTTCAGCCCTACAATACATGTATTGTAATAGTGACCAAACACAATAACTGTCATGTGTACAATTAACTGGAACCTGCCAATATAATGAAACTTATTTTCTATAATTGCTGTTTTTGTTTCTTTATTTTTAAACAAAATAAAATATGTTACCTCTCCCAAAATGCTTGCACCCCCATCGAAAGTGTTCAAAGCAAAAAAGTAATTAAAAATCACCTCATACTGTCTTATTTTGCTAACTATTACACCACCCCCACTCCTTCACCTTCGCATGCCCCTCCTACATAGACCACATCCTAGTTGGGACATACTATGAATACAGTTAGTGGTAGCGCTGTGGAGGTGGGGGGGGGGTGCGCAAGTGGGAATTGTAACCGTGGGGATTTCTTTTCCTTTGTTTTTTTGTGTACTTTTATATGGGATTCAAATCCATACAATAACATGCTCATTCATGCTACATCTAGCCAATAGACATTATTTAAAAAAAAAGACAAATATTTGGTCATTAACATTGCATCATGAAACAATATTAGGAACATATAAAACTATTATCATTTAAATTTCATTTCTGCTGATATTACCAGTATATTAGTACAGTATAATGAATTTGTATATATTGTAAACCTAAACCTATTATAAAGGGGACAATTTCACATTTCTATTCAAGGACACCCATATATAATAAATGGGACACTTTTTTGGTCCCGAAGGTGTCCCCTATGGGTTACTGTATAACTTTTTACAATGATAGCCTACAGTTAATGCTAGATTTTAAGTCAGCACACTTTGGGCAATGTGGCAAAGGGGATTTTTGGTCTCAACAACTTACTTCTTGGACATCAAAGGGATGTGTAATAATATATAAGCCTGCTTACTGCTTGTTGATTGCATTAATCTAGGTGAATGTTACACTCGGGTTTGTTTCCTTTATAATTTGATATTGAGGGGGTGCACTTTAATGTGCTGCGAGGTGCTATAATAAGGACATATTACCATATCATTTTTGTATGGTTCTTTAAGCACTAATGCCTGCATATATTGACTTAAAACATTTTAAATGCATACATTTATTTAAATATCATATATCTGGTTACTTACTGGCATAAATATTAGTTTTACATTAGGAAAAAGGAGAGAAATAGAATAGCATTTTCTAACATCTTTGCTACTAGAAAAATTTGATGTTGTAGATTGCATCTGCTATTATGCTGTGGCTAGTGTATAATTAGCTCTATTGATACAGTATTGTTGAGACCTCATTTATTTGCACTATATTAATCCATTTATTATTATTATTATTATTATTATTATTATTATAATTATTGGCTTTTCCCAGCTGTACTGGGAAAAGCCATTGTTTTTATTTGATTTTTTTTTTTCTTTTTTTTAGCATATATTTTTCCTATCTTTTTGCACTCTTTTTTCTGGCCATCACTTTGGTCACTACCCATGCTTAGAATGTTTTCATGCTTTGCCGAAGCATAGGCCATATATCAAGGATGTGCCTCCTAATATTTAGTGTCAATCAATGGTGGCGGTGAGTGTGTGAGGACCAATTAAATTGATTTAAGGTCAAACAACTAGTCTACACCTGATATTTCAAAAACCGGTCAGTTGATCTAAATGAAACTTACGAGAAAGTTTAATCGAGTTGACAAGGAAGAAATTGTTGTGTGTTAGTGACGATCCAGTAAAGGGTGTAAATTTGAGTCTTTTCAATTTTTGAGGACCCAGACCGAAATATCTCTTTAAAAAAAACCAATGGGTCTAAATGAAACGTTCTATAATACTTTGTAAGGTCTTGTAAAAAACGATCAAATTTTGGGACGATCCACAGTATGGTGTGGATCTGAGGACCATTTAAAGGAAAATGTCCCAGACCACATATATTTAAAACGGATCCACTGATCTGAATAAATAATTTGGAAAAAGTTTAACCAAGTTACAAGGACGGTAGTATTATGTGTTGGCTACGAATCAGTCAAGGGTGTACATTAGAGGGTCATTTAGATTTTTTTGAGATCCCAGACATAAATATCTATAAAAAGTTTTCAATGGGTAAAAATGTAATCTTCTATAATAGTTTGTAAAGGTCCAGTAAAGAAATGACTAAATTTTTGTGATGATCCGGCGTAGGGTGTAAGGTGTAAATATGAAGACCATTTAAAGGAAAACGTCCCACACCAGATATTTCAAAAACGGGTCAACTGATCCGAATAAAACTTTCAGGAAAGATTAACCCACTTACAAGGAAGATATTATTATGTGTAGGGAGGATCCAGGTTAGGGTGCAAATTTAAGGGTCATTTAAATTGCTTACGTCCCAGTTATAGATGGCTAAAAATGACACTTTGCAGAAAAGTTTTTCATGGTATTAAAAATGAAGAAATGATCCAATTTTGGTGACGATCCGCAGTAAGGTGTGGATATGAGGACCATTTAAAGATTTTTTGTTGACAGTTGATTAAATTATTTAAACGCAATTTGCGTTTTGTAAATGTACCTCGCTATTACCATTGCAGCCATATTTCAAGTCTCACTAATAACGTCGCAGTGAACATGGTTTTCAATTTTTTTTTTTTTTCCCCACTTCATTAAATTATATTGGTTTTCCGTGTTTTTTTTTTACTTTATACCTTTTAACAACTTTTCTTTTTGTTGCTATTTCAGCTTCATTTCTCATTAAAGCAATGGGGAAAAGCCCTATGTTCTGTTGTTTAAACAGACATAGTAAGTCTAGTTATTATTTTTTTTCCCCCACTTCATTTTTCCACCAAAACAACTCCACTCCCTAAATCTCATATGGAGATTTAGTTTGTGTAAAGCATCGTGTGTGTATGTTTGTCTTGTGTAAGGGATTGTCACCTACAAGTAGGATAGTGATATATTCG